GCACCAGGTTCGACAGCCTGGGGGGACCCCCGGGGGGCTTCAGGGGATGGGGGGACCCCTGGGGGGCTTCAGGGGATGGGGGGGACCCCCCCGGGAGGGGCTTCAGGGGATGGGGGGACCCCCAGGAACAGCTTCAGGGGATGGGGGGACCCCCGGGGGGCTTCAGGGGACGGGGGGACCCCCAGGGGGGCTTCAGGGGATGGGGGGACCCCCCCGGGGTTTAGGGGGATCTGGGGTTGGAGGAGCAGGGAAGGGAGAGGAACTGGGAGCACTGGGAAGGACTGGGGGGGGTAGGACTGGGAAGGGCTAAGAGGAACTAGGAGTGACTGGGAGTGACTGGGAGCTCACTGGGAGGGACTGGGGGTTACTGGTGGTCACTGGGAGTGACTGGGTGTGACTGGGGGTTACTGGTGGTCACTAGGAGTGACTGGGAGCTCACTGGGAGTCAGTGGGAGTTACTGGGAGCTCACTTGTGGTCACTGGGAGTTACTGGGAGCTGACTGGGAGTGACTGGGAGTTACTGGCAGCTGACTGGGAGTGACTGGGAGCTGACTGGGAGTGAGTGGGAGCTGACTGGGAGCTGACTGGGAGTGACTGAGAGTGACTGGGAGTGACTGGGAGTGACTGGGAGTGACTGGGAGCTGACTGGGAGTGACTGGGAGCTGACTGGGAGTGACTGGGAGCTGACTGGAAGTGACTGGGAGCTACTGGGAGCTGACTGGGAGTCACTGGGAGTGACTGGGAGTGACTGGGAGCTGACTGGGAGTGACTGGGAGCTGACTGGGAGTGACTGGGAGCTGACTGGGAGTGACTGGGAGTGACTGGGAGTGACTGGGAGCTGACTGGGAGTGACTGGGTGTGACTGGGAGCTGACTGGGGGTTACTGGTGGTCACTGGGGGTTACTGGTGGTCACTGGGAGTGACTGGGAGCTGACTGGGAGTGACTGCGAGTGACTGCGAGTGACTGGGAGTGACTGGGTGTGACTGGGTGTGACTGGGAGCTGACTGGTGGTCACTGGGAGCTGACTGGAAGTGACTGGGAGTTACTGGGAGCTGACTGGGAGCTGACTGGGAGTGACTGGGAGTGACTGGGAGTTACTGGCAGCTGACTGGGAGTGACTGGGAGCTGACTGGGAGCTGACTGGGAGTGACTGGGAGCTGACTGG